TATGATGTTACGATGGTGAGAGTGATTAATATTATAGTAACAATGACAGCCAAATTGCAATTATCTAAAGACTAAAGTGATCACTTTTATTTAAAAATACACTTTAGGATATAAATATACAGAAGAAAATATGCTCTCATATTTGATATCTACATTAATATATGCCTTGGTGATATGAAAGCTATTCCACATTGGCTTAAAGCAATTTCACTTTGAAAATATTCATGTGATAATAGGAATCAGACTTTGCCTAAAAATTATAACCTAAATAAACTACCCATGCAGGAAAAAAAAAAAAAAAACTAAAAAATTCTAACACGATAGAACATATAGGTCTTCTGCTACAGTCCAAAAGTACATTAAAATAAAATTACTTACTGTATAAAAATAAAAGCTTTATAAATATGAACATGCTGTATTAAAACATTTCATATTGGGAAAAAAATGAGAATTTCTGGTATTTTAGAATGGTGTCTTTCTTCATCATTCATGTACTGAAATCTCAGGGTAAGAAAAGGGCCAGACCAACTCCAAAAGGTTTCAAATATCAAACTATACTATTGTGTCAGTGTCCTAAGATCAATTAGCACCTTTCAATGACAGAAAAGGTTACAGTGAGACTCAGAGGTGCACTCTCTGAAACTGTCTCAAATCACTATATAAATGTGGTTTTGATAACACAAAATGGTTTCTATTTTAAATTAATCAGCTTCATCTCTTTTTCTGGAGGTGTGAAAGGGGTTAAGGGAGTAAGAATAGTGGTGTTCATGTTCAGTATCTCTTTACTAATAAAAACACGGATAGAGAAACACTAAGAATGACAAACTTCAAGCGTAAAATGACGTATCACCAAGGCATATATTAATGAACAGCTCCACAAGCAATACTGAGTGACAGTAATGTTTACAAAGTCTTCAAACCTCTTAAAAGCAATCAAAGTTGCCTGTACTTCTTTTGAATGTGTAACTCTTGCTCATTTTCTTCCACTTAAGTTCAAGCTAAATGACGCCAAGTTTGGCTCCAAAAATGATTTTAATGAATATGCAGTGTCCTCTTCATTAAAACACATCTAACTATAAGATGCAGTATTACACATAGTGCATCTCACCCATCTCCAGGGCAAATGCCTGAAACAGCATGTCATTTCTTAGTTTAGCAGGAAAAATTCATGAGAGAAGCAGGTACACTGCAATGCCACCCCATTTCCCCGGTGTTGATTTCCTTCACCTAGTAACCATTGTAATAAAATCCCCCAACTGTATTTCTGAATATAATTAGTTTAAGATACTCTACAGGGAGACACATTATAAGAGTTTAGCATTTAGTTCATGTAAGAATAATATCCATTTGGAAAAAGAAACTGTCAAGATTATATTCTCACTGAAAAAAAGAAAAGGTGTTTTGACAGAGGTTTGTTCAGCTCTTCAATGAGAGGATTCAAACGTTTCCTACTTTTGATAGCACGCTTTTCTATTTATTTCTTAAATGAGTGATCTGAAATATTTACAACCAGACAGTACCTAATTTTAGGTTTTAAGTGCTTTAACAGCTCCATGAAATATGATCAGCAGCTGCAATACAGAACTATGGTGAATAAACTCCTTATAAAGAGGGGCCTGTTTTTACTGAATGTCCAGTGTTCTTGCATTTACCTAATAGAAAAAAATGATGATGAGAAAGCACCATAAATACTCGCATTCTTAAATTACTTAACACTTAACTAAGTATTGAAAAAGATTATCTCCCCTCTTCTTGAAATCTGTATAAAACCTGTGAGGTTTTGTGGGGCAAAATAAGTTTGATTATTTGAAAGTTAGAATGTGAACTTCCTAATATTCTAACTTTTTATAACAATAGTCATGGTCTTTCTACCATTCTACCTTTCTAAATATTCTAAATAATCTAACTCCAATGCATAAAATTTAAAAATGAAATATCAAGCCATATAAATATATTTTTAGACACAACATCAGTCATTTAGAGCTTGCAACAGAGATTGAAAACATGAAATTGGATACTCTATTTCCCGTGGCTATGTAAAATTTATTTACACCCCAAAGTACAACATAAATAAAAAGGAAACTCTTAGAAATGGAGAACTTGTTTTTTTTTTTTTTTTAACCCAAAGAGGCTTATTAAAAGAAAAAAACTATATAGCAAAATGACAAGTAACTCATCTGAAAGTCACCCCTCAAAAAAGAAACTTCTATGCAGACAATTTTTTTCTCCAGCTTCCAGAAACCCTCTGAAATTCAGCATCTATTTTTCTTAACAATTAATAATAATGATTATTCCTTTTTATACAATCACTCCTTTTTATACAAATCTTAAGATTTTTAAAATTTTAAAACTTAAACATACTACTTAAAAGAAAGGTTAATTGTGAATACATACATATATGTGAAACGTTTTATTTTGGAAATGAGAAATTCAATTTCAAATATTCAATAAATACTAATAAAAAGAAAATAACTGAGTAAATCTTATTTTAGTTATAATTGTGAACCAACCTGTAGTTACAATGGTCTTTAAATATTGAAACATACTATTTTCAGGAAATTTACAAAGGAAAACACGCTTTTGAAAACCATATTGATTTTAGACCTTTACTTCTTATGAAAGACAAGTACATATCCCTAATAATCAGAGAAAGGAGCCGTTTTCAACAAATCTAATTATGTTGCTTTCAAAGCTGTAGCTGTCAAAGGTTTTAACATTCTTGTACAGTCATTTCTAAATAGTGGTTTAACTTTGAATGACTTACAACTTTTAATCAGGTGGAACAAACTATTTTTACGGTTTATAACAATAAATGTGGGTGTAGTTATATCTGCTTTCGATATTGTTGCCATAAAAATCAGATTCTGGCAGTCTTGCTCGACACAAAACAGTTCGTCTCTTGTTACTATTGCTTTTTGTTTCTTGGGATAATGCTATTTTTAAAAATACACAAATGTCTTTGAATGCAGTCTCCTAAAACGCTCCATATGACACATCAAATATTTTTGGGGGGGATTCTCTCCCTGCCCCCTCTAGTTTTTGGTTCTTCAGGTTTAAGCTTGCCAATAATATTTTAAAAGACCAAAAAAAAAAAAAAAAAAAAAAAAAGGCACTCATTCTACTTAAAACCAAACTGTACCCAGGAAAGGAATTCAAGTACAATCCTTTCCTTAAGGTTTTCAAAACAAAAACAACACAACAAACAAACAAAAAAACCATCGTCAACTTTCAATCCTGTCAGTCACCTACGTGTAAGTGAAACTTCAGAAGCTGTTGATGGGGAGCCCGCGGTTGTTAAACGCTCCTAAGACTCCCACCTAAATCCCGCAGGAGCCCGCACTGAAACTGACAAACACCCGAGGGTTCACAAAGTGGCTGCAGATGAGAAGAGGAACAAAATGCCATATTCCAGGAGATGTATTTCGCTCCAACAATTACGTTGATCCCAGGGTGCCAAGCCAAAAGGGGTAAGGGAGAAAGAAAACTGTTAAGTATGAGCTCTTAATATGAAACCTAACCTGTTGGTTCTCTTAGGTATCAGATTTTGGAAGTGTCTGTAATGACAGCCAGGAAAGCAAACTAATGGCCAACGGCCCACTGGGTTTGAACACCAGACTCCTGTTACCTCCTCACAGATCAAGTACACAACACACACGCACACGGAGTTGCTCCACGTGGAACTGCTCTGGAACCAAAACACACGCCCGGGCGCTATTCTGCACCTTGGCAGAAAGGGCAAAGGGACCTGCACCTTCCTCCCCTGCCCTCAGGTTAAGATTCATGAATGACTCTCTAGGCCCGCTCGGGATGGCGGGGAAAGGCGCAGGGGACGCGGTGAGAGAGGACAGTTTCCACACTACCCTCCCACACACACTCTCACCCCAGGCGCAAACCCGTTGTCTTCACAGGAAGGAGAAAGAGGGGTGGTGGTGAAGGGAGACACTGTGCCCCCAAGCAGGGAAGAGATGACAAAAATTAAATTGCGCTCTCCGTTTTCGCCCCAGCTCTGCCACCCGACTCGGTCCGCAAATTCCCTAATCTCTCCGAACTGTCCAGAATCTCGCAGACAAAGGGAGAAAACTCTTTCAAGTGCTACCAAACGAAAAGTTCGGGTTGCTGTGCGGCGCAGAATAAAACAAGCACACACACGTCTACTTCCAAACTCCGCTTCAACACGCTAAAAATCCGAACCATTTCAAGTCCCAAAGCCTCCCCAGACCCAGCAGGCTTGGAAGGAGAGAAAAATCTGTTCTCCTCAGCCAGGTCCCTTCCTTTGGAGAAGTTATAAGCCTTCCATGGCACCCGCTACTCGATGAACGCGACTGCTCTGACAAGACGCTTCTAATTTCACCGACCCTGGCAAACTGCAGGAGACATTCAGTCCACGCCACATAAAAACTATTAAAGTGGGATCGCCGCAGTTGAAAAGCCCGATCAGTGCCTGGAGATTAGAACGCGAGCCTTTAAAGTACACACGCACCCGGCACCGGGAAAGCCCAGGCGCCTGTGATCCTCCGAAGGACTCTAGGTCAGCATCCTCGCGCCTGGACCATCTAGGGGGTCATCAGAAAGTAATACACGTCATAAGAAAGATGTGGGGGAGACCCCGATGCGCGCGCCTCTGCCAGGTGGAGGCGGGGTGCAGGTAGAAGCCGCACGCTGGACTGCTGGATGAACGCCGTTACGCGCAGGCTCCGCGCCGACCCCGGAAGGGACAGGGAGGCTCGGAAGGGACCCTTGGGACGTGGGGACGTCTTCCAGGGCAGAGAGCACCGCTGCGGTCCGAGGGGCCCGGGCCCTTAGGCGTGGGGCACCCGGCCTCCAAGCGCCCCCCGGGGACGCAGGCGCCCACGCATCGTCCAGCTGCGCGTCCTCAGTCCCCATCGCTCGCTCGGCGTCCCCGGCAGAGCCTCGCGCACTTTCCCGGAAAGTTTGGGGGTTCTCCAAACTCAGGCCCCCCGGGAGCCCTAGGGCGGGAGTTAGAAGAAGGGGACACTCACCTCGTCGCCCGGTCCGCCTCGGGTTCCCGAAGTATCTGTCCCAGCCGCGGTTCCGTGCGTCCGTAATTAAGTATTTATTCTCGTTCCTTCCAGTGTCGAAGTTTCCCCTTCGCGCTGTGCCTCTGGTGAAAACAGGACATCCCCTTCGGCCACCCCACAACAAATAGCGTACACAAGCGGGGGAGAAGCGGGGCGGGGGGAGAAGCCGGCAACGAGGGGGAGGAGGAAAGGAGAGGAGCCAAAACTCCGGACTGCGACAGGGGGGAAAGGAGAAGAAAAGAAAAAGAGAGAGCGCGCCCAGCCGCCGCAGTCGTCACTCCCTAGCTTTTCCCGCAGCTCTTTCCCCCTCTCTAAGGCAGCGACAACTTCACGTGGACAGGATGGAAGTTTTGCGCTGAAGCCGGGAGCGGCCGGAGCGTGCGCCGCGCTGCGGGCAGCCTCGCACTTGCGCACGGAGGTGGGGCGGGGGCGACGTCGTCGCCGGCTACTGCGGGCACTGGAGGCCGCCGGGGGCCTCGGGGCAGGCCGCCAGAGACGCGGGGGGCGGCGGCGCGCGGGGGACCCACTCCGTTTTTATTCGACCTCGGGTGACTGCCTATTGTCATGGTTTGCGATCTCGCGTGGGGACCGCCCAGGGCCTCGGGGCCCTGGATGTGCCGGGTGGCGCCGCGGTAATCTCCGTGCCCTCCGCGCCGCCCCCACCCCTCCCCCACCCGGGCCGACTTGAGCGGCTGCAGTCTCCAGGCTGAGGGGAGGGACCCGCGACCGCGCTCTCCTCGCTGGGTGAGAGAGCCACTGTCGATCCCCACCTGCTTCTGTGGGGCAGCCCCCGGAATTGCCCGGAACTCTCTTGCTACCCAGTTGCCCTGTGCAGGCCACTGCGGGCCCCCTGCCGGGCTCCTTTCCACTTACCCCAAGGGAGAAGACAGAAGGGACTTCGCCTACTTGCAACAACGTGAAATAAAAACCAACCCAGACCAGACTGGGGCGCTTTTTCTGACGGGAGGAAATACCCTTTTCCGTGGAGATATATGTTATGAAGGACTAAGCAGTCTGGGGATAGGCTGTGCTGGGAAGTGCCTGGGCCCCTTCCAGTGCTGGGTGCAGGTATAGGCATCCCTCCCAGACACCCAAAGGTCAAGCAGCAACGACTTACTTCCAAGGCGGCGTCAGAGCTTTCCTAGGCACATTGCTGAAATGACATTTCGTGCCTAAGCCTTCTGCGCATGCATTACGCGCCCACATAGGATTTACGATTCTATACGCACACGTGTGTATACCACAACCAGGGGACACAGCAATGGTAGCACGGAATAAATAATCCATAAATTTCGCATCCATTTAATCACTTCTTCCAAAAACCTATTGTCTATTTTAGCGGCACCTTCTTTGTCATATTGATAATAAATGTTTTAATTTATTGATAAATCACTGAGTGTCAGTCATTGTATTGGTCACTTATGGTACATGAGTTCATTTAATTTCCATGGCAACTCTACCGTGGTCATTATTAAGCCGGTATAAGAGATAAGGAAACCAAAGCCCAAAGAATCATGAGTGACTTTTCCAAAGACAAATCCAGTGGTCTCTAGTTACAAAGCCTATGATACAACAACGTCTACATTACTTTAGGTGTGGTCTAAGAGATTATAGATTAATTCATAGAAATTATTCCCATTCAAAGAAAGTTTAGTTTTAATATATTCACTAAGTTACGTTCTGAAAAAAAGTTCAGAAAAAAATTTTCATCCTCTACTTTAGGTTGGTCTTCTGCAACTGACCTGAGCATGGTCCAATTCAAAAGCAGTATCAACACTGAATACTTATGGTTACAATTTATTTTTTAATGAGTGGGGAACTATCTACAATGCTTAAGAGGCTCTAGAAAAGGTGGTGTTGTAAATTTAGAATAATAAAGGCAGTCGTTGCTGCTCTCATCACTTACTGGGTGTTCTTTCCTGCAGATTTATTTTGGAGGGTGTAGGCATTGCCAGGCATAATGTTTCCTTTTCTGGTTCTCAAGGTAGAAAGGGTTCTGGCAGTGGGGTTGGCACAAAGAGGATTTGGAGCATGGTTGAGAGCACAGTCTGGCCTAACGAGGAACGCCAGTTAATATACACTGCAGAGAAAAATATCAATGGACAGATTTAATTAATTTTGCAGGTTTATTTTCTCCATTTCACATGTGAGAAAACTAAGGGCTCAGAATTTTTAGAAGCTTGCTAATAATTGGTAGACCTGAGTTTCAAGCCAGCCTTTATTTAAGTCCATATTCTTAGTCACTGTTAGACTATTATTAGTATTAATCGTATTCAGAAAAATAGTAATTCTTTTTAATGTGTAATATGTTACAAGCCAAATATGCAATTTAAATGTTTTGTGAATCATAGTGTCTAAGAATGTTCTGTGGCTATAGCAAATATCATGTAAGGATTAAGTACAATGATTAATTTAATACTGTCCAAAAAGGCAACAACATTTTGAATTTCATTTTGGCATAAAACATTATGTGCTAGTTTCACCTATAAATAAAGGTGGGAGATGCATAATTTGAATAAAATAAAAATTCATACTTTAGCATAAATATAGGGTGGGTTTTCTTAGCATGTTTCTTTGTACCCTTCTAAAGTCAGATTTTTCAGTTACACTGACCTTGCTTTCAAGGTCACTTTGCTCCTGCATGTTTTTTTATATATCTAGATAAGAATATGTGTACAGAAATTATTTTTAAAATCCAGAATAATATATTTGTTATTTGACTTTATATTACTACCTTCTAATACTTGTCTGAAATATACATATATTAACATGGACACCACTAGGTGTCAGATAAAACGTCAATTTTCAGTCCACATTTGAAATAAGTTTAACATAGGAAACAGAATTTTAGGGTTATAAAGGCAAAAATGTATTTGCTTAAATGAGGCCTTATTTCCAGCATTTACATTGAATATCACTTTTATAATTATAGCCATATCACCTATAATATTATTGACTTATATGTATCTTTAAATAACCTCTTTTTATTAAATAAGTTTATCTGATAAATGACTTTTTTATAGTCACCATAAATGGAAAACTAATAAAACCCGCCATGAATAGAAGATGATCTTGCAAAGGAAGCTATATTGTAGAAATAAAAGTTATTTCTCATGTACCACCTAAAATTATCTCACATACAGTTTGAGAAACGTTGGTTTAAAGAATTACATTCCATATGTCCCTCAGGGTCTCCAAGAGATATTTTCAAGCCTCCCCTTTTCATTACCGGAACAAAATTGTTGAGTCCAAGTTACTTTGAGGTATTGCTTTTTAAATTCTGTGCTTATTTAATTATTGCTTTTCTTGTCTAAAGTATACTTGAAGTCTCTGAAGTTGAGGCATCTTTTTAAAATTCATGTATTATTTATTGTTTTGCTTACTATCTTATTTGTGGTAAAATGCAAGCAATTCATAAGTACACAATTAAAAAGCAAATCACTTTCCTGAAATATTGTACCAGTTACTCATTACCCTTCCCCAGCATCTATTAGCCCAGTAGTGCAATACAGTACAGACAATGAAGAAGAGAAAGAAAGTAGAACAATGGAAGAAACGCAAAGGGCCTAAAAGGACACGTGGGGGAAACTGAAGTCAGGTACCTGCTGCCAGATTCTTGAAGTGATTCAAAAACACCAGTGGGCCCTGCATGACATGAGTCAGGCTCTCAGAATATTCATACATGTTCAACTCAGTCTGAAAAGGGATGTGTTTTGGGAGCAGTGGGGAGATAAAAAATATAATACTTTATTGTGTAAATCAGTGGAAATATGAGATTCACTTATTAGCAATTCCCTTAACCAATTCCTCTGGAATGAGATGCCTCTGCAGTTACCATTTACTATTTGTTTATTTTTCAAATGTGCATGGCACTGTTTTGGCATTAGATTTTGTGTAAGTCAAATTAAACAAACACAGCACTCTAGGAACTCATAATCCAAAACATAATTTTTGTTTTAATGTCATTTAAAAGCAACCTTAAGGGGAAAACCAGGTCATCACTTTAGTAAGAACAGATTTTAGGCTAAAAAATGGTATAAGACACTAAATTTATCAAAAAAGAATGCAGAGGACTGGATGCTTATAGAAGTAATCCCAAAGTAAATCTCTTGAGCACCTTTTGGTATATCTATGAACTCCAGCTGGAAGTATACACAATTTTTCAAAAATACAATAATTCAGTTGTTTCTTAGTAAATTCTAAGCCAAACCATTTGAGCTTTGGAAGTACGAAGTTTTAAAGACCAACCTTAATATGAACAAGGTTGAACAGTCTTTTAATCTACCTCTCTACTGATGACAGACTACAAGAATGAATGAAGATAAAATATGATTGCCCAAATCCTATGCTGCTGGTTTTCTAAAATCTATAAATAAACACACTTTCTGAGTAATTTTGTGCAGACAGATGAAGCTTAAAAAGGTTTCTACTAGTTTGTGCAAGTGAAGAAATCAAATCTTCAGGGGACCTGCTAAATTTCCTCATTCTTGGCAGGGCCTCTAAAAGAAAGGAAATGCACATTTTCTGGGAGACAAGTTCATTATATTTACTTTTAGATTTTCTCTTGAAAATTCTCTCCAGTTGAATCAGTTTAGTAGCATATTAGGCAACTCTACTCCTTCTTCCATGCTTACACTCTGCTCTCAGATGTTTATAAACAGATATCATGCTCACTTTTAAGTCATGTTAGCCACGTTAAACAAATATAAGGCCTTTTAATCTTGTAGCAGTTCAGTCTTTACAAACCTGTAATCATTCTTATTGCTTGTCTCTGAACTATTTCCAGTTTCCTAGATGTTCATTTTTGTTAGCGGTATCCCACATTGAATGCATTGTTCTAGGTGTGGTCTCATTAACATATTAGAATGAGTCCAAATTTTTTTTCTTTGGTTGCATTATATTTTTGCCTCACTTTGAATTCCTACCAACGTATGCTACTTTCATAGTCTAACAATTTACATGTAATTTCTTTTTCTATTTTCACTTCACACAATATTTTTCTTGGCATACTAATCAATTCAGAGTTCCCAAGTAATTTGAATGAACATTTTAAAATATTAATAATAGTCAAAATATGAACAATATTACTTTCTTGTCCCTTTGAATTCAATGGCATATAGTCACCCACATTTCAAAATAGGAAAGATTTAATTAACTTCTTTTCATAATATCCCATGTCCACTAGTTATGATTGGAAAGTCTCCACATATACAATACAATGACTGGTGGAAGGAGGAATTTGACTTTATGGTAGACAATTAAATTGATTTGATGCTTCTAAAGTAATACATTTGGCATGGTTAACTCTAGGACCAATTGCATAAAATCTTAAAGTTAGGAACACTGATAAATTGCAACAATCTACTTGTACTGAATACTTCTGAATAAGAATATTATAATATCAATGAAAAGTATAATGAAAGCTTTTCAATGTGTCTTCTTTCCACCATATTTAATAGTACACTTGGAAACAATTTCTTCAATGTTTTTCTATTTTGAGCATATATTCTCAGCACCCCCAACACACCTTAAAATGACTTTTCCTGTTCACCTGATTCCTTTATTCCACCACCAACTTTCTCAAAAAAAGTGATCAGCCCTCAGTGCATCTACTTTGTGACTCTTCCTAATCCTAGAAATTTTACTTTTGCTCCTGTTCCTTTACTGAGACTACTCTCTTTAAGGTATC